GGGGCACAATTGACCCCGAAGGTGACTGTCTTCAACTCGTAGTCGCGGATTTCCTCATCGGAATTGCGGAATAGAATACGCTGCAAGGGAGTATGCTGGGGGTCTACCCAAATTTGCCGATATATCATCTCGATGTCGGCGTTGAAAACGAACCTAAAGTATCGCCACTTCAGGATTTGAATCATGAGGTCGGATTGTAAGAACGGGCCCGCGTAAAGTATGTCATTCAGACTGGTCCCGTTTGCGGAAGGGCTAGAGGCGTTGAAAACCACCCGCACTTTAGTGGTTGTGCTCTCGGGCTTAAGAACGGCGTGATGTGGAAGGTAGTACGTGGCGGAACAGCTTGTCAAAGGGACCTCGACCACGTGACCTAAATCGGCCACGTGTCCCTTCTTGTAGTCTGGACAAAATTGTGTTCACAGACGGAATCAGACTCGGGGACTATCTGTGTGGGCACTTCCTCCACCTCCCAGAATTTGGTAAGGAGATGATCCAACGAGCCGTCGAGTCCGCAGATAACTCGAGTGGAGAAGGCGGACACATTGCGGGGGGCCGCTGGAGATATGGGGCCTGTCAACAACCATCTAAAAATGGTTTCCTGGGCGAGCAGTGAACCGCAAATGTTAGCCCTGGCGTTGCCGAGGAGGATGGACGGAAGAATGTCGGCTCCTATCAAGACATCGATTTGGGAGCTCTCGAAGAACTTGGGATCCGCAAGGGGGATGTCAGAAATTCCCTTAAGAAGATCTCGAGGGACTGGATACGAAGGCAGATTCCCGGCCAGCTGCGGAAGAAAGTAAGCTGAAGTTTCTAAATGCAGCCCGGGTCTGGAAGGCGATCGAAAAGAAAAATGACAGAGATTCGTGGACTGAGCGGCAACGGTTTGATTAAGACCAGAGACTTGGGCCTGGATAGTCTTGAATGGAAGTTTGACGAGGTTGAAAAGTCTCTCCGTAATAAAGGTTGCCTCGGAACCAGAGTCGATCAGGGCTCGCGCCTGGAAATTACACCCTAAATGGCAAATGTTAATGAGGGCTGTGCCCAGTAAGACGGCTCTTGAGCCGGAAGCGAAGCACACTTGCACATCAGAGTGATCCTCTGTGGGGCTCGTGCCTCTTGTAGTAGGCGCAGGTCGAGACCTGGATGGCGCAGACGGACTTGGAGCGGCCGCGAATGGAATACCGCGGTGCAGGAGGGTGTGATGGCAGCTGTGGCACGTGTGGCACGTGGAGCCGACATCACACCCTCTTGGGGCTGGAGTCACTCTGGCCTCGTAGGAATTAAGCCTACGCGCTGGGGCGCTCGCAGGTGTCGACATTGGCGGAAACTGACCCGAACTGCTATTCCTGATGTCATCGATAGCCTCCAGAGTGCGATGACGCTCTGTCAAAAACGAGTCTAACTCATTCCATGATGGAATCTCAGCCTTGTTGTGAATGGATTGCTCCCACATCGAAAGCGTGATTTTGGGAAGCTTTAAAGAAACCATGTACACCAGGATACAATCCCAAGTCTCGACTTGAATAGAGGACATCTCTAAGGCTGTCAGGCAACTTTGGATTGTGCCTTGCAGCTCTTTCAGAGCGGCTCCGGACTCTTGGGGTACTGCCTGAATGTTGAAGAGGATTTTCAACTGGCTATTGACTAATAACCGCCGATTTTCGAAGCGGTCGGTGAGGGTTCGCCACGCGGAGATAAACCCTTCATTGGTCAGAGGGGCTTTAGAAACAATGGCGTGCGCATCGCCACTTGTTTTGGACAGTAGGTGGAAGAACTTCTCTACCGGTGTAAGACGCGAGTTGTGGATGTATATCGCGGTAAAAAGATCGCTGAAGGTGGACCAACGCAGGTAATCACCAGCGAAAACTTCGGTGTCGACTGGTGGCAAACGACAGGCCGTAGACGGCGGTGTTGGAACACTGAAGCAGCCTGAATGGGCTGGGAGGCGGCCTTGTCTATTATGTCCTGAAGCTGGACCAAACATCTCGAATATACGGAGTAGCAGTAACTGTACTTGGATTCAAGCACTGTCGAGGTGGCCGTACTGTCGGTGGACGCGGAAAGAAGATCGGAGCAACTTTCATAGCTCTTTTCCACCTTTTCCCACAAGGCCCGGATTTGGTCCCGATGGACTTGGCACATGCCAGGGGAAAGTCGTTCTGGTTCAGCGGCGTTCGGAGTATGAATATTCGCTTGAAATTGGCTAACCCGGTCTGTAGTGGCAATAAACTTTTTGAGGGCGATGTCTATCGCAGTTTGAGCCATCTTGGACACCGACCTAGAAAGCCTTGACGGGTGACCGGAGATAGTCTCGACGGACTCGTCGCTTTTTGCCCTTGGAATGGCAATGGCCGCGGAGACGCGGATTGGGACCTGCCCAAACGGATAGGTGGGATCGACCTCGGTTTCTTGTCGTCTCCCGTGGGCATTCTCGGACTCGAACTTTGCGGACTAGCTCTTGTCGACTCACCTGAGCAAGGGGCGTTTCGTTCAGAACGTAAGGATATTCACCGTTAAGCTCTCGGCGCGATCTGAGTCGCCAACGAGTTGGTCGTCGCTGCAAATGAACGCACGCAAAAGAAAAGAAAGCCACAGAGAACGGTCACACTGTTAATTTGTGCGGAGTAGAAAGCAGTGTCATAAACAACGAGAAGAATCGGAAGAAAATATTTGGAAATCGATGAAACTGTATTGATTGTTTTTATATTTGTAAATCTTGTTACTCCCTTTGTTGACTTCTTTTTTTTTTGTTTATTTTAATTTTTACCTTAGTTATTGTTGCCAAATAATTTTATTGTATTTAGTTATTTATTTATTTTTTTTTTTTTTTGGGTTTGGAAAATATCTTTGATTGCAAAAAAAAATCCGGAAAAACGCAATAAAAATAAATGAATTAATCCATTAAATAAATTAATTACTTTGCCGGAAATAATTAAATAATATTTATAATTAAATAGTAATTATAATTATGAATTAATAATTTTTATAATTAAATAATAATTATAATTATAAATACTTATTTTTGAGCGGAGCCGGAACGGTGGAATTAAAAACCTTGGCTTTGGTTAGGGAGAAATGTTCACTGGGTTATGCCGTCGGCAGCGCATTGCATGCATGAGGGACGCGGGAGAGAGAGAGAAGGTAAAAAAAATCAGCAACACTAATAACACAGCCGTTGGGGCGGTTAATTGCGGCAATTTGGAGAAAAAGCAATCACGGTCGCACCCGTGTGGATTTGAATTTATTTTATTTTATGCTCCTGTATGTGGAGGCAGAAAATATATTTATGTAGATATGGGCATGCATGCGTTTATGGATATGTGTATGTTCCTGTATGTGGAGGCAGAAAATAGTTCTGTGTAGATATGGGCATGCATGCGTTTATGTGTAAGTGTATATCGGTACAGTAGAGCGTCGAATAGTGGACTGTATTTGAAGTGACGGAACAGATGAAATTATGTGGAGAGAAAAAAAAACACAAGACAAAAAAATATCTCGACAGCGGCGGATTGTACGGCGAACAGGGAAACTCCCGAAATTACTTCACACCGAGTGGCTGATATTAGTTATGCCTTTTTATTTTCCACCACACAATTTAACTTTTTGTCGTATTTATTTTTTTGAAGCAGAATTGCACTGCTCTATGTACACAAGTTGTCGCGCGCGTGTATGTGTATGTCTGGATGCACATATGCCTTGACCGTTGGCAATTTGATGTACAACGGGGAACGAAAAGGAAAACGGCAAGGAGTATGGCGACGCACACAAAGCGGAGACGGATAGAAAATTTTTTGGAATTGAAGGATTGTTAAATTTCTCGACTGCCGTTGTGTCGGGAAAACTCGGACGTGGAGTTGACACGAAAAAAAGAGGGGCGAGAGCGAAAGCTCGGAGAGCTCAGTGAACAGCCCCGATGCAGTGGGCCACTGACCTAAAGAATTCCAAAGAACACGAAAAAAATTAAAGCAACAAGGTTATCCTTTTTTTAATTTTTTTTCCGAATGTTTCTATGGGAGCTATAAGATAAAGTCGACCGATCCGGATTCGACATATACACTACCTGCAAAACGAACTGAATATTAAACAAGAAAGGAAGCATTTACCCTTGTAGTTAATACAAATCGACCACATTTCGATTTCTATGCCTATATTACTGATCTGGCTCGTTCCGACTTATATACTACATGCAATAAAGAGACAACTTTTGGGAAAGTTTCAAGCAGATAGCTTTAAAACTGAGGGACTAGTTTGCGTCGAAACGGACGGACGGATGTACGGACAGACTGAAAGACAATTTTTGGGAAAGTTTTAAGGAGATAGCTTTGCGTAGAAACGGATGGATGGATGGACACGGCTAGATAGACTCTTCTGGCGATGCTGATCAAGAACATATATACTTTATAGTGTCTCCTTCACTGCGTTGCAAACTGTTGAATTAAAATTTAATACCCTCTGCAAGTGTATAAAAAGCGATATAAAAACAACAAATTTTGAAATAGCTGGCAGATGGGTTAATAAGAAAACAAATAAAAATAAGAATTTAAAGAGAGAAATATAAGCATATATTAGATGTGCCGCAGTCCTGGCTGCAGTTCTTGCTCCTGACGTGTAGTTATTAATTGAAAACTCAAACAAGTCGTTTCCAAGTTGGCATTTAATTTCAAGTTTTTCTTTCTTCATGTCTTTCTTCTTGAGATGATACAATGAGCTTAATGACTATCGATAAGAACATACGGATACACCGATACCAAATAATTCAATTAATACTAAATGTCGTGATTAAATCCTAAAGTAGGTTTACAGCGCCAACATGCTTCCGACCTTGGAACTCTCTTTTAACCTTCTGCCGCAATCGTTCTCCAACGGCTAAGGACAAATTTTGTGAACATTGCGCTTGACGACTCCTTTCCTTGTCTTGAGAGTTACAACATCCGAACCAGGGTGTGTTTCCTCGACTCTGCCCGAAAGCCAATTTCCTGGGGGAAGATTATCTTCTGCGATTAGGGCAAGTGTCCCAACCTTGATGTTCTTGGAGCGAACAATCCACTTTGTACGCTGTTTAATAGAGTGAGATATTCCTTTGACCAGCGATTCCAAAATGAGTTTTGAACAGCTAGGATGCGTTTCCAATGATTGGTAATGGGCAGTTTCAACATTTCTTCGTCACATGGCTCCAGCAATGAGTTTAGAGTACGACCGACCAAAAAGTGTCCAGGTGTCAATGCCTCAAAATTGTTAGCATAACAGGATAGTGCGTAAAATGGCCTTGAATTCGTTATTGCCTCCACTTGAGTAACCGCCGTCGTTAGACCTTCGTAGTTCAGGGCAGTTCCATTGGTACATTTAACGATCAGTTGTTTCGCTATCTTTATAGAACTCTTCCACAATCCACCGAAATGGGGAGAGCCTGGTGGAATAAAGTGAAAGCTTACGTTCCTCTGACTGCAAGCATCCTGAATGTGCTGTTGAAAGGTCCGTTCGAACTGCCGATTAAGCAGAGATTAATGAAGAGACAAAGATAAACCTTTACTGGGCGCTTTCCGCGCACATTGAAGTGCATCCACAAGGGCCCAGCGAAGTCCATTCCTGCCACTTGAAAGGATAACATTGTCCCTTTATGCGACTTGCTGGTAAGTCTCCCATACCTTGTACGCCCGTACAGGTCGCAGGCGGAAACAGGTAGTACAGCTCCTCACCGTTTTGCGCGCTAAGTTCCTGCAATTAAGGATCCAATATTCTTGACGCGCGAAGGCACAAAGAGATTGAGCCCCGACATGAAAATTCTTTCGGTGAATGTAATCGAGGAGCGCGCTTACTACCCGATGGTCCCTTGGCAACAATAAAGGATGCTTTTTCCGAAAATGGCACGTCAGCCTTCGACAACCGCCCACCAACCCTAATTAAATCAATTCTTTCTTCGGTAGAAATAAATGTACTCAAGCATTGCACTTTGTCGGATTTAGTAGCCTTCCCTTTTTTGAGGCTGCGGAATTCATTGCTAGCATGTTGCAAATTGTAGGTAATGTAGCGAAGACCTCCCATAAATTCTGAAGCCATTAATTCCCGTTTGTTAGTATTGCCTAAGCTGACTTGTTTCCAGCGGTATATATAACCAAAAACTTTTTGCAATTTCAGGAAATCATTCGAAAACTTACACTCGGATACCTCATATTGCGGCAAACATTTTGAAAAGCATGAAATTAATGTAAAAGTATCACGTTTTCGCTCAGTCATCTCCTTGGCTTCTCCCGACCATTAAAACTGTGACCAATTCTCTACCGATTTACATAAAAACTCTGGCCCGTGCCACCATAATGATGACGTTTTCAGATCCTTTGGGAGCATTCCCCTTGAAACTATATCAGCTGGATTCAACTTAGTAGGGATCTTAAGCCATTGCTCGATTTGGGTGATTTCCTGAATTTATCCCACTCTATTTGCCACAAACGTATTCCACCGGCTTGCATGGGAGGCTAACCAGTTTAATACTATGGTCGAATCAGTGAAATAGCGGACTTTTGAAACCTTTAAATGAATGCAGGAGAGGACCTTGCTCATTAGCCTTGTCAAGAGTAAGCCTCCCTGCAGTTCCAGTCTCGGCAATGAAGTGACCTTGGCTGGCGCTACCTTTAATTTGGCCGTCACTAAGTGAACTGCGATCGTTCCCGCTTTACTGATCACCCGAGCATAGACTGCTGCTCAATAGGCGCGGCATAAAGCTTCTGAAAATCCGCACAATTCTAAAACCTTTACGTCCTCTACTCCTGTCAATACAGATCTTGGCAACACACAACTCTTAATAAGTAGCAGCTCATCTCGATACCTGTTCCATTGCATCGCGAGGGTGGGTGGTAATTCTTCGTCCCATTCCAGTTTAAGGAGCCACAACTCTTGTATAAAAATGTTGCCTAAGATAATGATTGGACTTATCACCCCTAAGGGGTCAAACAATTGCGCTAGCTTAAAAGAAGACTGAAAAGTGTCTTCCCTACACATCCAACTTATTCCTAACGCCTTGGAGGAGTCATCACATCGAAGACTCCATGCTGCCATGGTTTCTTCTGTTTGAATTAATTCTTGACAGTTGCTACGACACTTCTGTTACTCAAACTGTCCTAGGCTAAGAAGTTCCTTTACCTCCGTTAGCAGCCTTAGAACCTGACGTGGGGAGTCTGTTCCGGCAAGCATATCGTCCATATAAAACGATTTCTTAAAGGCTCGTGAGGCCGCCGGATACTGTTGATTACTTTTCGATAGGATACATTGATAATTGCAATGGTTGGTCTCTACTAATACCTGCCTATACATCTTAGCAATATCTGCTGTAAGAGCATATTTGTAAAATCTAAAGCCTACAAGGATATCGAACAACTCTGGTTGAAGTTTGGCTCCAGTAAGCATCAGGTCGTTCAATGATTTTCCATTGCCTGACTTACATGAAGCATTAAATACGACGCGAAGCTTCGTCGTTTCGCTTTCTGGCCTAAGAACCGGGTGATGAGGCATAAAATATTTTACCTCACGTAATTCAGTAGGATCGAGGACCTCCAAATGCCCCAATTCCTGATATTCATATATTAGATGTGCCGCAATCCTGGCTGCAATCCTTGCTCCTGACGTGTAGTTATTAATTGAAAACTCAAACACGTCGTTTCCAAGTCGGCATTTAATTTCAAGTTATTTTTTCTTCATGTCTTTCTTCTTGAGATGATACAATGAGCTTAATGACTATCGATAAGAAAATGCGGATACATCGATACCAAATAATTCAATTAATACTAAATGTCGTAATTAAATCCTAAAGTAGGTTTACAGCGCCAACATATATAATTGGTAAATCCTTGTCGAAGGGACAAAACGAAACAAAGATTATTAGACACAGAAATCTTCGACGGTTTTAGGGACAGCTGCACACAAGGGAGCCATCTTGTTCCGCTTCGTCTGACATTATTTATCAACGACCTTCCATTTTTTATACGTTATTCTAGCGTACCTATGTACGTCAATAATTTTAGATTATGCCATGGTTAAAAAAGACAGAGGCGTACTTGGTTTTATTAAAAGGTGGTTAAAAGACTTCCGATTCTACCAACACAAATCAGTACGAAAACATTTTTACTTTTTGCCTTACAGCGCCTAAATTGGGATACAAATATTATCTTACCTTCTTATGCTAGTAGACTACTGTTGATTAATTTACCCTCCCTAGACAACCGTATATCGATGCTTGGTACCGTCTTTTTCTAACTTTGTTCTTGATGAGATTGACAGCCCCGACATGGTAGGTCGGGTTTTCTCTTCTGTGCTAAGTAGATTAACTATAAATTATATTCCCCTAATATTTAATCATTGTAGATCTAACTATGACTTGCATGAGCCTTTCAGAGTATTATGTTCTGACTATAATGGACTTTTTCTTATAATCTCAAATCTTGATTCTCTGCCGCTCTAAAAAGGATTATAACTTACTTTATTAGCACAGGAGCTGCGCCCATCCGTCAGTTGTGCGTGTTTTGGGCCGTGACACTCCGCGCGTTAAAAAAAAATAAATTATATCAAGATAGCTAGCAAGAAAACCGAGCACACTTTTAGAGATTCCTTAAAAATCACGGAATTTGTTATTTTTGTAAGTTTAAGCTTTGAAAGACACATACCACGAGAAACAATACAATATATTTTTGTAGTTGCTCTTATTTGCTTGAAAAGTAATTATCTGCTATCCCTTTAAAATAACTTTAGAACAAATTCATTGAAAATAGTTTAGCGTCGCTTGTGAACAGTTGTTTACTTTTGTACTATGAGTTTTTGTCTTTTTTCAGTGATCTTGTGCGAGTGTTTTGTGTTCATTTATTTACAAAGTGAAGTGTTAGTAATTTTAAATAGATCTCCCAGTAAACGGGTATGTGTTTATAGGTATTTTAACATTTCCATTAGATTTGTATAATCTCCTAGCTTGGTTATTGTAATTTACGCTTTCTAAGCTTGCTAGAACTCTTTTACTCCCTCTCAATCTCTCCCACTCTATTTTATAACTGTAATTCACTCTCTATGAACCTGCTGAACTTCCAGTAGACTTTTTCGGTGCTATTTCTCTAACTCTCTCTCTCTCTCTCTCCCTCTCTCTCTCTTGCTTGCTTTACATTGTATTTGTTAATGCTTAAAGTTGTTAGTGTCGCACAAGCCACGCTCAGTCGATAGAAGATTTATTCTCTCGTGCCCTCTTACATTTGATTTACTTCGTTATCTCTCACTCTTATTTTTTTCGTGTTTTGTGCCCTTCTGTACTACCAGTGCACTATGGTCCAGCAGTCGATTTTGAGTCTGTGCGACCACGCCTCCTATTGCCTCCCATACAAACCGATTCGTAGTATTATTATTAGAAATGGAGTATGACGCTGAATTCAGACAATATATTTACATTTATTTCAGTATTGATTTAAACATATGTTATGTATGGGTTTTATCTTAAACATTATCTTCTTCTTCTTCTAGTATTACAGAGCAGCCTTCGATCAGGTCCTCATCCGAATCACAATCAGATTGCAATTCCTTTTCAAATGGGATGTTGTTCTCGGTTGACGGCAGTTCCAGAAGGCTTAATACTTCTTTGGGAATTGTTTTTTTTTTGTGTTTTTTCGTTCTCTTTCCTTTAAACAGACACTAGATAGTAACGGATCTGAGGAATCAATCGCCCTGTGGAAAATGTCAGTGATTGTATTGATTCGACTATTTTTCCTTGCGTGTGAGAGTCGGTCTTTTTTGTGGATTTTATTGCGGGCTTCTGAAGCATTTTCACCCAAACATCCTAGTGGAACTAACGTCGAATTATTTATTTGAAAACCGTGGACTAGAACTTTGTGAATCGTTGGTGACATTGAATACCACGGATATTTATGCATATATAGGCAAAACGTTTTCTCACAAAAAGTTCGAAATTTTTCAGAATTTATATAAAAGTTACATGAAATTGCTATTAATATTATGTGAAAATTATTTAAAAGGATTTTGTCAAAGCCGGTTATGAATGATAGTTGTTCACTATTTGCAAAAGCTCGTCTTGCCGTATTACCGTCATTGCTGTTCCCGCTACTATTCTGCTTTGGCACGATTACTCGAAGACCCATATTATTCCACATTTTTTCTTGAATATATTTTTTTGGCATTTGTCATCACATTTTACATGCCATTTTTGTATTTCCATTTTGTATGATATATTCAGGACAAATTCTTAAAGCTTCAAGCTTGGGCGTAAAGATTTTTGAATGAAATCTTTGATTTCCATTACTTTGGTTGGGGTAACACCACAAATTGGACAACATTGAGTTGATCTATTGTTAGTTAGTACATTCAGTACATTTCCGTCAATGAGTGTCATGTGCATTTCAAAGGTTACTGTTATTTTATTAGCCTCATTTAGTGTATAGTAAAACGGTTTTAGATTACCTATTTGATTTTTTTCCATAAGTATATGATCAGAAGTTTCTTTTACAAATTGAATTTTCAGCGGCCTGCTAAATCGAATGGATTGCGGTGTTCTGTTAACCCAGATATTTCGTTTAAATGAGTCAATAATTTTTATGGGTATAACAGAAGTTACAAACAAAGACT